CGGGTTTCGTTTCACATTTTATAGGTACTCTCCTTATGTGTATTGTGTCTACACACGTCCAGGAATCTGCACAGGGATTGAAAATTAGTCCGTCATTTATATACATGTATATACTACACACCCAGAACGATTTTTCTTTAAGAAGAAACTATATGAAGATTAACGAACAATTAACTTAATTTTACTACAGTTGTTGATTTAGTATAATCAATTCATCGGTGAAAAAAATATCAACCGAAGAATGACCTAGATATTCTCTGTTATCAAACATGTTTAAATAAAAAAACAAGCTGAGAAGGGAGGAGAGAGCGTAAACCTACATTTCTGTCTACAACTAGTCAATCAGGTCTGAATGTAAAGCCACGTGATCTAGGAGTTCAGCTTTTTCCCAGAGGCGTGACTTATGCTACACCACTTGACATTATTGATATACCCCCTCAGTAGTAATGTACTGTAAACATTCCTTTGATTTCGGTTTTTAAAGAAATACAAAAATAAACAAATAAATAAAATAATTGTATATGGCCAATAACATGTTGTTTTACAATGGTAAGATTTAATGAGTAATCGTTTTTATACAGACAACTATGCTGGCCAAGTCCGGACAAACAGATTTATACGTTAGAATTAATATCATCAATTACTTGACTTTTGTCCTATCTGTAGAAGACTTGTGGTAATGTTAACTATCTTTTTATTTATTTTTTAAAATGTAAATTAATTGAAAGACATGTAGATTGTAGTAATAATATTATAGTTGTTTTTTTTCCATAGAGACATCATCATCAGCCATGTCAATAATCACTCGACCTGTGTCGACAGCTAATGAAGCAGGTATGAAAAATGAAAGTAAGCCTCATGATTTAGGAGGTCAGCTTGACTTATGCTACGTCGCGTGACATTTTGTAGTAAAAGTTGTAGTAAAAGTGTTATTATAATAAACTGTTCATGATCCTTAAATTTTTTAGAAACAACATCAATCCTAACAATAGCAGGAATCACTGTTTAAACAGGTAAATACTTTTAAATGAATTAACTGATTTTAGATACTGATTATCCACAAAATGAGATGATATGTGAATCTCTAAGAGGTAAAAGTAACCATTGAAAGTAATTATGGATTATAAATCCTTTAGATTTTACTTTGAAGAACAATAGTAATTATTGAGCAACGTTGCCATATTGAAATCTTACATTTAAATTTTTTTTAGAATCAGGACGGGGAATTCTAAATGAACTGTTTGCGAAGTTGAATGAACCGTTGGAAGATGAGGAGACACTCTCAGATAAAGCTCCGGGTAATAATGTGGTCAATTGTATTACATTGGGTATGTATTTTGATATTAATTTGTATTTTTTATTCAGTAGAAAACAAATGTCATTTTAAGCGTAAAAGTCTAATAAAAAAGTTAATCATATTAATAAGGCAAATAATTACAGGCAATCTTTCCAGTTTGATTTGGAAAACGAAAAGAAGATATAATATAAAGACTACCTAAAAATTGATAAGAAAATTAACAAGCTAATTCAGAGAATTCGTGTCCCCCGCTCAGGGCAAAAGTCGGATCCCCCTTACTGAATTTGTAGAATTATTAAATGTATACATGTATACTGAAGCAAATAAAATACATGTATATCAATATGCGTATAATGATTTGATTGCTTATTCTTTATTATGTGTATACATAGAAGATTCTTTTTATATTGAATATTTATCAAACTGTTATGATGATTTTATAACCTCATAAATTATTCTTTTCATTTGCTGAATACTATCATAAAAAAAGTTAAAAAACAAAACAAAAAAAAGGATCCGTCCGAGATTCGATCCCACTTGTGAAGCGGGAGACATACCACTGGACCACGGAATCGTTTTTAAATGAAGTCAAGTATATTCAGAAGTGAAGTCACATATATACATGTATATATTCATGTTCGGTATTATCACAATTTCACACAATTCATGGTGTTTGATTTATTTATCCTTTATTAAACAGTTCTAATAGATGTAATAAGAACATAAAGTCCACCGAGAACCTGGTTTATACGCAATTACTCTCCGCATGCCCCTGTGCTAAAAATAGCGACAGGTAATACGATAAATACTAGTAAAACAAACGGGGCGGGGCACTTTGAGAGGGGTGAGAGAGGTCCTATGGGGTTTTGGTATAAAATTACATTACATAAGCTCAAAATCTTCTTGAAATATCGCCCGGAAATGATAGTGTTACACACAAACAGGACGTATAATTTTACGACCTTGAACTTTGACCTTTTGACCTCAAAATCAATAGGGGTCTTCCTTAGACCACAGGGAGTTGTTATATTTAATTTCATTGCAATAGCTTAAATGGTTCTAGATATATCCTGTGGAAACGAAAGTGTTATAATAGACAAAATTTGCTTATTTATGACCTTGACCTTTTGACCTAAAAATCAATAGGGGTCTTCCTTAGGCCACAGGGAGTTGCTATGCTAAATTTCATTGCAAAAGCTCAAAGGGTTCTTGAGATATCGTGTGGAAACGAAAGCGTTACAGACAGACAGAAAGACGGACGGACAGACCCAAATTAATATCCCCCACTTTTCAAGCGAGGTACAATAATAAAACTTCAGTTGATTTTTTATAGGGCTCTTAGCATGGGCGGTTGCAACCACCTTTGCGGTTGCAATTCTGCTGTTAAAAAGGTGGATTACGAAAAAGTGTGAGAACTGTGTGAGAGAGGATGATGATGTGCCTACAACCCCCCCCCCCCCCCAATCCACTGATGATGATCACTCTTCCTCCTCCTCAACATCCCAGGATCCTGACCTATCTACCATTCACCCCTCCACCCCAACTACCCTGAGAATCGGTTTTTGGCTCACCTAAGCCGAAGGCTTAAGTGAGCCTTTCTTGTCACATGTTGTCGGTCGTCCGTCCGTCTGTAAACTTTTCACATTTTCGACTTCTAAAGAACCACTGGGCCAATTTTGACCAAACATGGTACGAATCATCCTTGGGTTAAGGGGAATATAAATTGTGAAAAAGAAGGGCCAAGTCCCCTCACAAGGGGAGATAATAAAGAAAAGACAAATATAGGGTGGGGTCATTAAAAAATCTTCTCAAGAACCACTGTAAAGCTGAAACTTATGTGGAAGCATTCTGGAGTATTGTAGATTCTAAATTGTTCAAATCATGACCCCCGGGGGTAGGGCGGGGCCACAATGGGGAATCAAATTTTTTCATAGAAATATGTAGGAAAAATCTTTAAAAATCTTCTTCTCAAGAACCACTGGGCCAGAAAAGCTGAAACTGATGTGGAAGCATCCTTAGGTAGTGCGGATTGTAAATTGTAAAAAGCATGACCCCCGGGGATAGGGCGGGGCCATAATGAGGAATCTAAAATTTTACATAGAAATATATATGAAAAATCTTTAAAAATCTTCTTCTCAAGAACCACTGAGCCAGAAAAGCTGAAACTTATGTGATAGCAACCTTAGGTTGTGTAGAGTCTAAATATTTAAAGTCATGACCCCCCGGGGTTGGGCGGGGCCATAATGGGGAATCAAATTTTTACATAGAAATATATAGGAAAAATCTTTGAAAATCTTCTTCTCAAGTACCACTGAGCCAGAAAAACTGAAACTTATGTGGAAGAATCCCGGGGTAGTGTAGATTCTAAATTGTTCTCATCATGGCCCCCAGGGGTAGGACGGGGCCACAGTGGGGAATCAAAGTTTAACAATGTTGAATCAAAGCATCCTATGGTAGTATAGATTTCAAATCGTTTAAATTATGATCAGTGGGGTAAGGTGGGGTACAATTTTTATTACAAGAGGGAAATCTGGTAAAAAACGGTGTTCAAAGCTTCTCAGGTGAGCGATGTGGCCCATGGGCCTCTTATTAATAATCTTTTTTACAAATTGAAAGTCAAATAACCCTTTGATGCATTAAAATTTCAGTTGTTTTTAATATTTGACTTTTACAATATTGAGATTATGTCATTATCTATTTACAACATTGAGATTCAATTTTTTAAATAACCGTCCAGTTGTTTTATTTCAGAATGGGTAGAGATTAAGTGAGTTGTCTTTCTTGATTTGAAAGGATTTTAATGTATATTTTTTACCAAAATGTTTAGAGGTAATTTGCTGTTGTTTTCAACGTAAAAAGGTCACAACATAATTTTGTTGCTCTTTTTGGCATAAAAATGTCTGCAAACAATTTAATAGATTTTTTTTACCATAAAATGTTCTCAGATATTTTTGAGGATTTTTTTGGGGGTTTTTTGACAAAAAATGTCTTTAGGTATTTTTGTAGTTTTATTTTTTTGGTGATAGAAAATGTCTTAGTTAGATTTTGAGTTTTTCATTGTCATCTACTCACATGCTGTTAATTTTTTTCATAAAATGTCTTAAGGTGTTTTTAAACATTTTTGTCTGTAAATTTTGTTGATTGATTTTGTTGAAAGAAAATGTCTTAGTTAGATTGTGAGTTTTCCATTTTCATTTGCTTACATGATGTTAAATTCTTTTTCATTAAAAATGTCTTAAGGTGTTTTTATACATTTTTGACTGTAATTTTTTTTGTTGATTTTGTTGCAAGAAAATGCGTTAGTTAGATTGTGAGTTTTTCATTGTCATTTGCTTAAATGCTGTTAAATATAAAGGCAAACCGACTAATATACGAGTATATATGGTATGTCTGTTTACATTTTCTTTATGTACACCTGACTTTTACTTTCAAAAAAAATAATAGGACTGTGATATTTATAACATTATTTCTTTTTAATATACACTGCATGTATAAAGAAAATATAAATCAACAAGTTTTAAACCAGTGATATGTATTAGCACTTAAAGATAAGAATTTACTTTTTAACTTCAACAATAATTATGATTGTTTCCCCACAATAAAATGAGTAGTTATGTGTTTCAATGTTTAGTAATTTGGTAGCTTTCATTTGTAGCTGAATAAATCTCGTTCTTTGTCACCCGGTACATATACCTAGAGACACATGAGACGCAAGGATGCTAAGCTGAAACGAAAGCGCCTGAGAAATGCACAGGCAAGCGTGAAAAGAAAAAGACTGGAACTGAAAGCTGAAAGGCAATATAAGAATGCATCGCAGTCTGTTCTTGAAGGTACATGTGCATGTACATCTATTTAATATTGGCTAATTAATTTTTAGCGGTTTCATTATCTTTAATATATTTTACTCGTACATGTATATTGATACAATCTAAAAAAAAAATTGTTTTTCAAGGAGATACATATAAGCCAAACATCTGTTTAGAGGCTGAAGAGAACATAGACATAGATGATATTGAGCTGGATGCCCCTGTTGACAATATCCATACACGACCGTTGGTGTTCTTTGATTTGGAAACGGGGGGATTAGATTTGTTTATTTTTTGAATTTCAGTCCATGTAAAATTTATAGATGTTTGTTAATCATACAATATATCATCAAAATCCTCTTGTTATCCTTACATTGAATATTCCAATATCATAATATCACACATTTTGATTTTTACTATAGGACGAACATCTGATATACTCCAAATTGCAGCAAAGTGCCAAGAAAAGAAGCTCTCAGTTTATGTTTTGCCGACTCGATCCATCAGCAAGGAAGCATCTGAAGCAACCTGTTTGACCTTTGATGGAAATAACCTTTGCTATAAGGGAGACGCAGTGGCTGCAGTTACTCCAGCCGAAGCACTTACCAAGTTTCTGATATCTTTGGAGTCTTTTGACCATCCAGTTTAAGTGGGGCATAACATTCAAAACTTTGACCTACCAAATTTGCGACACCATTTGGGAGATTGTGATCTTCTTGAAAGATTTCGTAAAAATGTAACTGGATTTTTAGACATTCTAAAGATTTCCAAGAAATAACTGAAAGATGTCCAGCTTCCTAACTACAAACAACAGACACTAGTTCACAGTCTATTAGGAGAGGAATATGAGGTCCATAATGCGATGGAAGATGTGACTGCATTAGAAAAATCATATTACTTTAATTTAAGTTTGTCAGAAAGTGCAGTGTCTGAAAATGTTTTTTATTTGTTATATTACACATGTAAAGAGTAATATTTTTCTAAAGCATGTTAACGATTTCTCTTCTCGTGTCTACAGCCTTTTCATGCTTATCAAATTTTATTATTATTTTTTTATACATCTTAAATATCTAATAGATTTTGGAAGCATAACAACATGAACAAACTACCGGTAGATGGATTTTCTTTAGCAGTGAACATGGTGAATCGAATAAAGCTCAGCAACATTATTTTTCGTCATTGATGTGTTGATTTTTAACAATGAGAAGAAGAGAATAAATAGTTCAAATATCTCAAAAATTTGGATAAATGTTGAAGAACATAATCATGTTAATTAAAAGAATATCTCAAAAATGAACGTAAATGTTTAGCCTGGGTGCATTATTAGTGTGTTGGGAGGCAAATGTTTTTATTTAAGTGTGACCGTGTGAAATGAACATATTTTGAGTGATAATTATATTTTCTGATCCAGTGCTTAAAATAACATAATTATAGACCTTGACCGCTAGACATTTGATGCCACCTGTACTTGACAGTCTCGTTTAAAGTCATCATTTCGTAAATTCTATGGTCGATACAATGACCTTGTCAGCAAATACAATTTATCATTGAATGAAATGCTGACTGACGTTTTTCATACCAATTGTTAGTCCATTATTTATACACTGAATTGACCACGGATTTTTTCCATTATTTCCTGATTATGACAACGAGCACACGGCGGGTGTGACCGGTCGGCAGGGGATGCTCACTCCTCCATGGCACCTGATCCCACCTCTGATGTTTCGGAGGTCCGTGTTTGCTCTGCTCTTATTTTGTATATTTGTTTAATGGACGTTGAGATTGAATACTGTTCGTTATTTCCATATCCTTCTTGAGTTAGATTGTAAATTATTTTCCAATTATGTCAATTATGCATTAATGCCTTCACTAACTCTTCATTATAATTGTTCTTTCATTATTGTTATAAGTTGGTTGTTCTGTACACGATCTTCAGTTGGAAACTGGACCTTGCACTGTCCACGCCGACATACCGATCGTGTAGTAAACACCAAGTTTGGACTGTTAATAAATAATTTAACGAAGCAACGACTTGTGTATTTCTACCGGTTATATTTGGTGGAGAATTCTAAGGGTAATCTACCCAAGGCTACTGCATATACTTTGTAGTAGTTAATATAGATCCCAGTAATCTCATACAGCTGAGCGAGTTCGCTACCCTTCGTACCAGAATTCCCCTAATCATTGACATGTTTCCATTTGTTCATGCATGGATGCAACCAGTCCAACTGCGCTTCACCTTGCAACACTGTGGACTAAGACACGGATGGACCGTCTGAACGCACTGACTTTATCATGTGGGAGAAGAGGACACTATGCAAGGATGTGTAAAACCAGGAATTCCCGTACCATCTGTGCTGTCTCTTCAGTACCGACGCGCTCAGTTGCAACGCAGACTGACAAAACACATACAGTGCGAACTTCAAGGAAATCAAAGAGGAAGCAAACCACAGACCGCGAAAGAATAATAAAATTTTGGACATGCCGCAAAATCGTAAAGAAAATTCTACAGTGAATGAAATGCCATTTTCATTTGTCAGCGTTATTGAAATTCATAAGGAAACTTTGGAGACCCAAGTTAAAAAATTCAGGGACCAGGCAGCATCTAACAAATCCGACGCCCAGTATTACCAAAACAAATGGTTGCATGAGCGGCAAGCGTCTCTAGCGCGGCTCTTAGATAAAGACCAGAATATCAAAGAACTCCATAAAAAAAATATCTGCTTTACAAAAAGACCTCGAGGAATCGAAAAAGGTGATCGATGACTTCCAGAACGACACCAAAAAGAAACAGGAGGAGATAAAATCACTCCGGCAAATTGTGTCAATTCTGATAGATATGCAATCAGGGTAGGTTTAAATGATACTTAATGCAATGCTAATTGAAATGAGAAAATTAAGCAGTTTCATTTTTTCAGAAATTCACAGGGCAAATAAAGGCCATAAGTGAACCTTGTTCTTTCACACAGATGACTAATTTTGAATGTGATTTATATGTATTGTAGCACTTATAAAGGAACTTTTATATCTCCTGCTTGCTACCTGGATTGTATTAACCGCTTTACTTCTGTACCTATGGATGAGCGTTAGGAAGTACAAGTGGTCTATAGGTGCAAGGTATCATTTCATGTATCACAATCATATATATCCTAAAATTGCTAATATGAATATCATATTAACCTTTAAACCCTATATGTTATAGTATGCAACACCTGCATCGCTATTTGAGGGTTATAAGAAAAGTTTGCGAACAGTGATTTACTGAAATCTTCTTGATTTATGGAAAATCTATTGTGCAGTGTGTGAAGAATGTTCAATGTCTAATTATAACCTATCTTTTGTTGATTACTATCTGCACGTAGAAAATGTCCATTTGCAAAAAAGTATCATGATTTATGAGATATGTTTTATCAAAATAATATACCTGTATATTTTTAAGGATCAGCAGAAAGCACAAACTCTTATATATTTATCAGAAAATAGGTTAAGTTTAACTGACTAGCTTAATCGACTTCATAAAAATGACTCACTCACAATATAACTTGTCCTTAAACAACACTCGTACATAGTAAATGTGTATATGCAATTAGTAAACATATGAAAAAGCTTGAGTGTCTTTCATTGTCTAATTATGTAACCTCGACGTTCTCAAAACTTTCAAATTTGGTATATCATGCTCTATTTCATTTACATATTTAAGAAATTCTTATTAATTCTTCAGCTACAACAGACAGGACAGGGATGGTCTCTTTCAATATTGAGGATTAAAATTTATGGAATTGGGCTGAAAAGTGGCTTGGGACGATTTCAACCGCTCCAGGAGGAACAAACTGTAATTAAATATACATGCTGGTCGGGAGATTGGCTCAGTGTATATATTTTTTTAATTTTTTTAGTTAGTTAAACAGCCGGTTATGCATAACGTTTTGCATTCGTTCAATATGAAAGAATTGTTTAAACTTATTTAGTTTGTATTTGTTTTTGTCAAACATTAAAAAAACATCTCTGCTTGAGAAACACTATAACAATGCCTCTATGAACTAAATAATATTTATTTTTTTTCATTTGGTTTGATGGTATACATGTACCCAGTATTCAAAACATACTACCCTTGTTTTGTACTATGGTAGTATCTCTGAATATAAATTAATAAACAGCTTAATCATGGTCAGCACTAGCCATAAGTATCATGCTGATTAGCAATTTACAGTTATTGATACCTTGCAGTCAGATACAGACAAAATTATAACAAAACAGAGGATTAGGGAAAAGGTGCCAAACACCTGGCTTCATGCATTTGATACTGCTCAATTATGTAATTATGACTATTAAATTAGAAGTACCCCATGTATAACATATTAATTAATACGTTATGTATATGAAAATATGTCAAATAAAATACCAAATAAAGAAAATAATGTAATTACTCCATAAATTACGTAACAGAAGAAGCATTTATTTGAGAATGTTTCAAAATTATCTCATTGATTATAAGTAGCCTTTTCTTAATCATTCAACAAGTAAACCCTACGAGCATGGTATGTAACTGTGTTAAACTATCTTTATCGATAGTTAAAAAAAGACCTTCAGGAGCACACCATGCAAACGACTCAAACAAGCCATAATGTGCGGGACCAGTCCCGGCTGGGACGCGGGAGACTGTTTTGTAGCAGAACTACAGGACACAAACAATTCAGGAGGAGACCTTATGAACACTAGGAGTGTAAATACAATGTATTAATCCTCTGAATCAGTCTACCCTGTAGTGATTTAATTGTTGCAATTACGCTTACAATTTAAAGTGATTGGAACTTTAGTTCACTCTAAAGGTACTACATGTAAGTGCTAAAACCTTTTTTTCACTATTGACACTTAAGTTAAAGTAATAACCAATATTACTTGTGTCGTCAATTTAAGACTAGAGTATAATTTTATACTTGTATACCTTATTCGTATGCCTTTCAAAAATTTGGCATAAATATTCATAGGTCTCTTCATAAGAATAAGGCTTATCTAAAACCACATGGTATTCCTGGCTTCAGTTAAATTGTCCAAGGACAACCCGTCGCAGCATGTTTCCTCGAATACAACGAACAGTCCTTTAATATATGGAATTTTTAGACTCTCCACGAAGTTTTTAACATTAACTTCCCTTTTAAAATGGTAGGTTGTTTTAATAAACGGGAAAATTTAGAAAAATCCTAACAGATCTCAAATTTCTTGACTTCAGATGAAAAATGCGTACAAAACATGAGAGTCGCTCGCAGAAATAATACTTAATTTATCCTTGTACAACATCAATAGTCACGAATACTCTGCACTTTACAAAGGCTTAAAATTCATACCAACCCCACAAAAAAGAAGTATCAAAAAAGTTATTTTGAATGACTTTGCAAACTCAGATGCAAGTATCACTATGATAAGGGAGAAAACTCCCCTATACATCCTTTCAGAAAACCTTCGGGTCACAAACCCCCACTGGCTTGTAATACTGTAGAAAAATACATTAATAAAACGAAATTAGAACTAACATCTATTCCAATCAGGAAAATACACAACTGAATTAGAAGAGAAGTCCTTAATTCTCGGAGACACAATAATAATATTGTTTTTAAAAAAGACGAAAAAAGCAACACAATTTTAATTATG